TAAGCTGGGCCGACAGGCAACTCTAACATCAGACACCCTGCTGGTCGCTGAGGACCTCGGATGCGGGCGCGGCGAGTGACAGGCGCCGTTGCCCTTGGCTTCAGCGACAAGCGGACGCCCCTCCCCGGGTTTCCTCACACCGAACAAAGGCTGAGCTCAGGGCAGTTGGGTGCTGGTAACCGCCTCAGGCCCTGGGCCTGTTTCCTTCGGTCTAAGGCTCAGCCTCCCTGGGCCTACTGGAAGCTTCTGGGCCGGGGCCCAGCACCGCAGCACAACACACAGCAGCAGGCCACTTCACTATAGGGAAGGGCCTGCCCACACATTGGACATTTGGGCACTGGCTGCTTTGTGCGCAAGTACTGCTGCGCTATCACCTGCCAGGCTCACGCGCTCACGGGGGAGCTGGAAGAAGCAGGCAGCCATAGCCGAGCTGCGCTGCTGTATGCTGGATGGGGCGCATGGTGGTCCTTGGGTGCAAGTGGCATCTGTGAGTTGGGGAACGAGGTTGTGAGTGATACGAGAGACATACCTGGTGCTTGAAGCGTGCGGCATATGCCGAGATTTGCTCGTACTTCGGGGAGCTGTTGATGTCATCGGCGGCATTGTAGAGTAGGCTAGATAGGACCTACCATCTGTAGTCTGGGCGCCGAGTGCCAGATAGGATAGCAACATTGGTCGTTGATGATGATGATGAGATTGCCAATTATGAGCTTTTGGTGTGCTCTTATTTGGTGAAACTCGTGATGCAATTCTGCTTTTGATTCGAGATCATGACTATCTGGTCTCATGTGTATGATGCTGTTTGATTGCTGAAGTTTGCTATTGCTCATCTTCCTAGCACACATATATATTTGTTAGGACTTTTTGGCACAATCAGCTGCGTTGAGTGGTTTGGTGTCTCCATTCTTTCAAATGCTGGCAGCATGGTTATTCTTTGAAATGGGGTTTATTGTGTCACTTTTCTTTCGAATGCTGGCTACATGGTTTTTGTTTGCAATGGGGTTTGCTTGGTCGAGTATCTTGACTGAAAGCAACTTTCTGAGAGAAGATCATAAAAAATGCCCCTTTTTTTGTCAGTCGCCTAGGCTACCAGCCGGGCGGCCCGGGTCCCGGGTGGCCAGCCCGTGCAAGGACCAGGGAAGGTCCCAGCAAAAAAAAAAAAAAAAAAAAAAAAAATCTAAAAACTCCAAAAACAAACTATGTTATGCAGAAAAATGAACTGAACAACTTTTGCCTCAGGGTCACATCGAACTTCTTCACCAATTTTAAAATAAAAAATAAAACTTTAAATTTTTTTATTTTATTTTTATTTTTTTAATTTTTTTTGCCCGGCCGGGCAAGTGACCCCGGGCCACTCTGGTAGCCTAGTCAGTCGCGAGCTGCATGGTCTGCACAGTCCCCTGGCGCAATAGTGCTACCCTGCTTGGTAGGGATATTCCTCCTCATCTTCTCTTCCGGTGGTGTGGTGCATGCAAATCATCAAAGAGGGCTTTTGAAAAGGGACTTAGTTCTTTTTCTTTTCTTGTATGCCGTGTCCATCTTGCTGCGGACTACTGCAGCGTCTCTAAAGACTCCAAGCACATGCAAATCTCTGCCAAATCAACGCTTAAACCAACACTTACACCTTGGTGTGCCGTACGCTCTGTGTGACGTCCGCCTTGAGCTGTGAACTCCCAGCTTCGCCCTCATATTGTTCGTTTGGCTTGGGGAAGGTGTCATGGCCTTGTGCTGTGAGCTTCCAGATTCACCCTTCTATTGTTCGTTTGGTGTGGGGAAAGTGTCGTGGAGCCCCTGTTGAGACAAGGAGGAGAAATTTGGCGGAATGAAAAGAAGTGGAGGTGGTGATGACCTCATGCGGTGTGGAGACGAGGAGGAGAAATTTGGTGGAACGGTAGTAGCGGATAGAAAAGACGACAGACTTTACAGGGCGGGAGCTGTGCGAAATAGAGAGGGTCGGGATCAAGGAGTGTCCACCAAGCAGCATTTTTGTGCAATCGGCTACCTAGTCATCATTGCCTCATCAATGACTCATCATGATCGTTTTTTTTCTTCTCTGGGCTGTTTCCTTGCTCGCCTCATATCCAACACAATTCCTTTCAATGCTTGTTGGGTGCGCGGCGCACCGAAGATTTACTCGCCCAATCGTGCAACACTCCCCTCTCACATTACATGCATGCAAAGAGGGGGGCTTGCTCGCCATGGGGTAAAAAACAACCCCCACCTTGCATGCAAGCCGCCCTCCTTTTTGCTTGCTCCCCTAGGGTTCACCTTCCAGGGTCCTGTTAAATCCCGGCGTGTTTGTTACTTTCCAGTGAGCTGATTCTTCCGTGTTCAGCTCATGACGGCGGAGTTAGCACGGTGTGCAAAGGGTGAGTGGTTAACTACCAATCAAACATAATGCTGACTTGTAGAATTTTCCCATCCTTCCTTTTCTCAGTTTTCTGTAGGTTTGCTGGTAGTAGGAATATCTGAAAAAAGCTCTCACTCATATTCTACCATTTCTCTGAAATTTTCTAGTAATTTCTTCTCTCTGAGTGATTCCAGTGAATAAAACTCCTCTTCCTTTGTGAAACTTGGTCTTTAGGAGACAAAATATACTCCCGTTTTCTCATTGAATTTTTGAATTTAGTCGGCTCAAAGTGTCCCAAAAAGAAGAAACAAAATGCACAAGGTTAAAAAATATATATCAAAACGCCTTCTGGCATCATCAAGAGGGGTAGGGGTCAAAACTTCAAAATCTGATTTCCACAGCCTTTCTTTTTTTTTCCCGGGAAAGTCCTTTCCCGAGTCCACTATCCTTGCGGCAGTAAGAGAGCTGTGGGGATTGAGGACTTGGCCAGTGGGCAGCTCCATCTATTGGTGGGGAGCGTCACCTGCTGGAAACCGGGTCCAGCGTCCCTTAGAACAACTTTACAATACCCGCGGGTGGGGGCTTTGGTCGTTAATCGTCCTGCGTACTACATCCCTTGGGGCTGCAAGTGATGTCCCCTTCCCATACCCCTCTCAAGTTTCAACCTAAGGCTTGACCATTGCCTTGAAATGACAAGCCATTGACCCCATTTTGTATTTCCATTTTCCTTTTAGACTTCGTACTTGCGTGTCAATCCGGGAGCCCGCAGCCCGCCCCTAAACCGTTTGCAGAGTCCACTTACCTGACCCCTTGAGTACAACACTCTCTTTCGGCGTCACCTCACGGCGCACGAACCAAGAAACAAAACGAGTGCATCTTCCCACAGGAAATGGACAGGTTCATCAGTTTGCTGTAAATAGTAACGAGTGTATGTTGGCCCCTTTCGTGGGCAGATCTAGGATTATTCTAGGATTATTCTTTGTACAAAATCCAACAACATATTGGCGCTTGCTCGACTCTCAAATTCTCTCCCTGATGCGCATGGTTTTGCGTAATGTTTTTTCATTGACATCAACTGTACTGTTCAATATCCCGTGACAGTTATGCCTTGCTATCTGCATGCTGCTCTCTCTTTCTTCTCCTAGATGTCAAACCATACCCGCTTTCTCTGTGTTTCTTTTTAACCCACTTTCCCTCAAAAATCACTCCGTATGAAGAAGAAACCTCCATCTTGAAGAAGAAGAAGAAGGTCCGCCCTTGAGGAAGAAGAAGAACTTGGCTTGAAAAAGAAGATATGGCAGAGGCAAACCCAAACACACAGAACAGATATGGATGCACACTTCCCAGCAGATGAAGCACCAGATTCACTGCCACCCACAAACACAGCAGCAGCTCCCGGCTAAAGTGCTGCAGCTCCAGCAGCCTGGCGACGCCAACGAGTATCACCAACCATGGAGGACTGTTCGGCCTAGGCTCGCCATATATGTGCTTCGGAATCCCTGCCGCTCTAGTGAAACACCATCTCTCATATTATGTATGGTGTGCACTAATTGAAATAGCTGGTGCCATTGCTAATGAAACCTGTGAGTCCTATTCTATATATAGCTCTAGGGTTAACCTACCGGACCGGACCCGGCCAGGACCTAACATCCTAACAGTTACGGGTGTGCGTTTTCTCCAGAAATAGCAGTACCAGTCTGAGGCACAATTGTGCCGCAGTCAGTTTAGGCCGAAAAGGCGAAAATGAGTTTTAGGCTCAGTAGTGCCCGTTTTCCTCAGTAGTTTAGGGAATTTACACACGAGTCCCTCCGCTCGGCTTAGACTCAGATGTAGCTACCGGTTAGGACCCACAACTTAATAAAATTACAAAAAAGGTTCGGTTATTGTTACAGCCCACTGAGAAACTCCAAAAACACTGCATCCGCCATCAGGTAACTAGTAAGCGTGAATCTATCAGAATGAGGACTACTTCTGTTTAGACTTCAAATTCAGTTGTTGCTTGGGCTCGTTTGCCATCCATCCTCACATGCCGAGTCTTCCTCTTGGTCACTCAGAAGCGGAACAGTCAGTGAATGGCCGGTGATATTGTGATGATCGGTCCCAGACTCCCAGCCCACTTTGGCCGGCAGTAGTTAGTGGGATCTTTTACGTGAAGTGTCTTCCTCCTGGTCACTCGGAAGCGGAACTGTCAGTGTGACTGGTCGGCGATATTGTGATGATCGGTTCCAGCCCACTTCTGCCGACAGTAGTTAGTGGGATGTGTCTTGCCTGTTTCCAGCTGGTTTGCTATTCTTGCATGCCAAGTCTTACTCTTGGTCACTCAGAAGCGGAACTGCTAGTGACTGGTCGATGATATTGTGATGATCGGTCCCGGCCCACTTCGGGTGGCAGTAGTTAGTGGGATGTGTCTAACCTGTTTCCAGCTGGTTTGCTATCCTCGCATGCCGAGTCTTCCTCTTGGTCATTCAGAAGAGGAGCTGTTAGTGACTGGTCGGCGATATTGTGATAATCGGTCCCGGCCCACTTCTGGGGGCAGTCGTTAGTGGGATCTTTCTTACCTGTTTCGGCCGAGTCCACATGCGGATCATCGTCATGAGGAATGGTGGCAGAACATTGAGATTTTGTTACGAACAGCTGCGCTCTCTTTGCCTCAGCTCCCCAGTCGAGGAGCAGGATGATAGATACAGTCGAAACAGCAGCAACAACCTCTGCTGCAATGAGACCGCGCCAGAGGCCAGCATCGCCCATGTGCATGACGAAAGCGAGGTAGGCAGCTAAAGGCAATCCAATCAAGTAAAAGGCCACAAGACTGACACCAAGCAAGGCGTCAGGGCGAGCACAACCCCGCACAATGCCAGCGGCCACAGATTGGGGAATGGAAAAGAGCTGCACGATCCCAAGCAGTGGGATGACCGTCTGGATATGAAGCTGTACGGAGGCGATGTCAGTAAATAAGCGTGCCACATGGGCACCACACGTCGTGAAAAACGTGAGAGAGGCCCCAGCGAGGACGAAGGCGATGGACCAAGCTACGTACGCTGCAAGACGAGCCGCTGGGGGCGAGTTCGCTCCAAGTTCAATCCCAACTCGTGTTGATGCCGATTGACTGACAGCCAGAGGGGTCATTATGGACATGTACGCACAATTCAACATGATGGACATTGTGGCCACAGCAGTGCTGGGGTCAGGAAGCAGACCGGCAAAAATAGTGATGATCTCGAAGGTCCACCACTCCACGCATACACTTACACATGAAGGCAATGAAAGCCTCAGAATGGGTCCCCACTCTTTCAGGCACTCCCGGGACCATCCTTCCCATTTGCCCCGGCCTTCTTTGGGCGTGACTAGCCAGACCGTGAGCAAAAGCAAGCAAATAAAGCTGATGTCGGTGCAAACTGTCGATAAGGCGGCACCTCTGTACCCAAGGCCCGCCTTGAAGATGAGCGCATAATTCAATGGAATGTGGATACACAGCGCTATGCCCGCGGAGACTGTAAGAGGAACTGTGATGTACTGTGATCGCAAGTATGTTCTTGTCGGTACGACAAGCGCGTAGACGAACAGATCAGGGATCAAAACTAAGGTGTAATTTTTCGTTACAGCGGCAATTTCCGGGTCTTGTCCGCATAGGATAAGAATCCTTTCCACATTGAGCCAGATGGACACAGCAATGACCGCACTCACGCATTGGAGCATGATTACGGCGCGCTGCATCGTCAACTGAAGCAGCTTGTAGTTCCCAGCACCGTACGCCTGCGCACAGATAGGATCGATCCCAGTCGACAACCCCATCACTAGTGAGTAGCCTGTGACGTTGCAGAAACCCATAGCGAGGGCCGCCCCAGCGAGATCATTGTTTCCGAGATGACCAAGGTATATGGTGGATACGACCACTCTCGCGAACCATAAGATGTTGGCCAGTGCCGTGGGTGCTGCGAGGGCTAAGCACCTCTTGAACTCCAACAAAATCTCACTGGAATCGGCCCCTGTCAGCTGACCCATGTGGTGTCCCCGTAGCGTGGGCAGAAATCGAGGCAGCTCTGGTGATTGCTGAAATTCCCAGTTTTCCAAAATGCAAGCGCCGTGACTGTTGCCATCATGCTTGCCGGCCGTGGGTTTGACGCCGAAGTTCGTCCTTGTGACGATTACCCCATTCAGGGGGGCAACTGCATCTCCGGCCATGGAAGTCATGCCATGATGATCGTCAGCTACTCCGTTTGTGCCTGGGGCCCCCATGTTCTTTACCCCCCGCGGTTTGCTGAGCTTACCCCACAGAGGTTCCGTGAGGTGAATCACCGTGAATGCTCCCACAGTGATGGGAAATGAGAGGTATGTTCTAGTCGCAGACTCACAAGCCTGTTCAGCTTAATTTTGCTGGTTTAAAATGACCACGGTGCAAGTTTGGACTTCACACCTGCCCATGCTTGGGCTTTCCAAGCAGGTAGAAAAGGGCAGGGATAGTTCCTACCAAAATCATTCACAAAGCGGTCCTTGGCCATCATGCGGCATCCGTCGCTTTATACCTTTTTGCAGCTCCTGGCAAGAAAATCGTTCACGAAATGCCCTCCGTGGCGCCGCTGGACAGCACGCCTGAGCCTCAAGCTGCAGTCATAACCTGCAAAGCAAAGTACACCGAAGGGGTTCACCATCCCGATACTTCAGATATCGTCCCAATCACACATGTTCCATTCATCTAATGGCATGAGATGCACAGTCAAGGTGAGCCCAATGAAAACCTGAAATAAGAAGGTAAATCTTCAGAGGCATACCGTGTCGAGAGTGTCAGGAACCAGGACAGGCTAAGTTATTTATTTTATATGTATATATATATCGTCAAATAGAACTGCCCGGTAAACCGTAGGCAGAGAGGGAGAAGAGGACAACAAACGAGGGGCTGTGACAAACTGTTTCGTCGGAGT